ATGGAATATTGTCAACTTAAGGCAGTATTACTTGTAACTATTGAGTAGACCACGAGTCACTCTCAGAGCCCAAGGGCCAAAATGCCGAGCTAACATGACCTCGACGCAATAAGACCCAGTTGCCTCTGTGGCATGGGCAAACTACTGAGTAGACCATGTGTCACTCTCAGAGCCTAAGGGCCAAAATGTCGAGCTAATACGACCTCGGCGCAATAAGACCCAGTCGCTTCCATGGAATGGGCAAACTCCAAGGGCAAACTATAAGTCACCCCCTCAGCCTAAGGGCTAAAACACCGACCTAACTAAGACCTCGGCACCGTGAAAGACTTAGCCGCTTCATTGGTAAAGGCGAATTATGAAATACTAGAGACGTAAGCAGCTCGGGTTTAAAGCCTACGAAGCATAGCCCGTCTCAGTACATCGGTTGAATCAAATAAGGAACAACCTGCAAACATATAGTTCGGGCATACACGCTAACTACACGGTATACTATAAAAATGCCTCAAAACACTAAGGGATAGCTCGGGGTAATAATTATCGAAAAATCCTATTTCGGGTATGTAGCTCTAATAGCTTGAGTGATGAGATCGCATTGCAAAAAATAAAAGAGCACACCATACTTAGCAAGAAAAGGAAAAATTTTATTACTATTTCATAAATAAAAACCGTGCTAAAAAGCTCGGGAAAGTTCAACAAGAAGTAAAAAAGGGCACAACTTTCCAATAAGAAGATTTTTGAAAACCGGGTTCTGGCACCCAGGAACCACTAGAAGCCAATAAGAAGAATAGAAAAACAGAAGATCCGCCAGCCTCAAGGGTCCACCTCCTCCACCTCGTCCTCGTCCTCGTCCTCCAGGGAGTCAGGCTCCTCCTCCTCCGCCTGGTCTGCCGTCTCGGGAGCCAGGCCTTTCATTGTGATGCCGTCAAGGTTGAGCCCAGAGAACTTCTTTTGGACCAGCTAGCGGCATAGCTTGAATCCAGAGCGGTACGAGCTCGAGCCATACTCCACTTGGAGGTCGTGATACTCCAGGGGGTCCTTGATGTCCTAGACCGCCTTAGCCCGCTCGGCCTCCACCATGGTGTCGAAGTTCCGAGTTCGATCCAGAAGTGTAGACTTTAATTCTCAAACCTGCTGGCGAAGGAGCTCCCCCTCCGCTGCCACCCTCGAGGACTCCTCCCTGTAGTGCATGCTCTCCTCAGAAAGCCTGACAATCTGTGCCTCCTGGTCATGGGCGAGCAGCTCCTAGGCCTCGCTCCCCTTGCGAGCTTGAAGGATCTCACCTCGGGCCTGGTCGAGCTCGCCCTGGAGCTTCTGGACATTGGCCCTCTAATTGCGAGCATCGCCAGAGTGGATGTTGGTCTGGAGGGCCATGGCGTCGATGGCGGAGTTCACCTGCCAACAAGAGACTAAGGTCAGAAAACATGAAAAGAAAGGAAAGAACGAGAAGAAAGAGAAAAGACCACTTACCACTATACAATGAGAAGCGGCGAGCGCCTTGGGCTCCATCTCCCCCCACCTAGCAACCTCCTCGTGGCAGATCGCCCTTCGGCTCTTCTGCCCAGCCACGAGGTAATCATTGACACCCTCCCAGTTCCCCACCAGGAACTACGAGTAGAGGAATGGGCGGGAAGACCCAGGAGTTAACAGCCCTTGCCTCGGGAGCTTGCCCTCCTCGAGGCCACCTTCTCCAGCAACTCCTTCAAATGGGACCGGTGGAATCTTAGGCGGTGGAGAAACAAAGTCTGGCTCAGTAGACTCGAACTCAGTGCCCTTAGAAGTGGAAGCTCGGTCAGGACGTGACCTCTTCGCCTTAAGCTTCTGGTTGCTGGAAAGAAGGCGGCGCGTGTCAACATCAGACATGATGGCTACCAAAAAACCACAAGGTATTAGTCCAGTAAAATATATGTGTGTGTGTGTATTTTTACAAGGCACTTCGGGACCTAAAAGGCAACCTACCCGAACTCAGGCTAGCCTGCGTGAGCTTTTCCTCGGTCAAGTAGTCAAAACAAAGAAGGCCTACTGCTGCCCAGGACAGCAGCGTTTTCCGAGTTTCAGGGTCCAACTCAACCCCAGAATCCTGGATGGCAGCCCTCCAAGAAGTTGGGAAGGGCCACCCCTCAGGGTTACGGACCACAAAATAGTCTCGCTTCCAGTCCGGAATCTTGTTCGGTAGCTCATGCAAGAGCTTGAAGCCGCGGCCGGGAGAAAAGTAGTAGGAACGCCTTTTCGGAGGCACTCCGGGAGTAGCATTCTTGATGCAGAGAATGGAAGAAAAGATATCAAGATCAAGGGGAAGACAATACTCATAGCACAGAGAAATAGTCCCAACTACATTCCGGATGGCATTGGGATGGAGCTGGTCAATGGTGACATTCAAATGATTCAACACCTCCACTATTAGAGGGTGCTTTGGAAGATGTAGGCCGGCCTCGAGCTATTCCTGGAAAATCACTATGTCATTGGGACCATGCTCCCAGGGAAAGTTACCGGAGGGGAGACTGTACATGTGGTCCCCGGGAAGGTTAAAATAGTGAACTAGAGATCTAAGTCTCTCCATCATCACAGAGGAGGGACCGAAGGTGTCGAGCTCTCTGCCCCGAGAAGTAGAAGCCACCTCGCCGGAGGCCTCTCGAGCCTCCGAAGCCTGCCCCAAGCTCTCCCTAAGCTCGAGGGGGCGTCGTCTTGGTTACCATCCCAGGGATAAACATGGTACGGATACTCAGACATGATTGACAGAATGATTAGACTCACCGGAAAAGATGAAACGATGTGAACAGGAGAAGAGCTCGGGCAGAATAGATGGATGCGCGACCTCAGAATCCGAAGATAAAGCAAGTTAGCATGAAAGAAAATGAGGCCTAGGGGGCCCTCCTATTTATAGCCACTATGCCCCCAGACCAACGGCCCAGATTGAGACAGATCTGACGGTTCACAGTCAAGCTGAACGCACGTCTTCTGAAACTGAAATGTGACTGGCTACATGTCTCCCATGATTAAGGTAATGACGGTTGCACGACATCAAGAGTTAAGAGTCGCTTCGGTGCATTTCTCGACATTCGAAAAGTCAGAAATCCCTGGTTCCGGCGCACACATTAAATGCAAGCAGTCAATCAAGTTTGAACTTCGGTCAAATCCAGCCGTCACACTTCATGAACTCCTCACACTAAGGTAGCACTCTTAGCCCGAGGAGTGGGGGGCAATTGATGGAGGGTGATTTGACCCGACCCCTTGAGACGATGACACGTGGACCTGACTCAACACGAGCAACAGCTCAGCACCACAGTCTGACTGCAACTAAGTAACGAGCCCGCAGGACAGCTCACTACGTCATAGCTCGCTATAGGGGAGCTCGCTACAACGCGAGCTCAAGGTCCCCCGAGCTACTGAAAGGGAATACTCCAAGACTATCTTAGCTTGCGAGGTAGGGTAACTAGCTCGCTCCAACACTTAGGCAGAAAGACTGCCCCGAAGACAATCTTGAGAAGGGTCACCTTGAAGTACCCCTCGGAGCTCACTATGAAATAGCTCGCGACAGGATAGCTCGCTACGCGACAAGGTAGCTCGCGACTAAGCAACACGACGCTCTCAGGAAGCTTCTATCTGACAAGACCGTACTCGTCAAACTGCGCCACGTCTCCAGACTGACGACACAGTCCTTGCCCATTCAACAGACTGCACCCACGTCTCTCGACAGATGGTGGTGTGTCTGTCTTCCCAAGATGTGTCACTCACCCGATTGGGTAAGTACCCTACAACGGTTACTTGCGCAGCCCTGGCAAATAACAGCTGCGACAGAAGCCCACTGGCGGTTACACCCGATTTGACAAGAACGTCTATATAAGAGGCCCTTAGTCAAAGGGGAGGGGATCTAATCTGATTTTTGGATCTTGAATCATCTTACTTGCTCTCGAGCTAATCTTGAACACTCAGTGATCTAGCGCGACCTACACTCTTAGCCTCTTTACACTCTTTACTATTTTCCCCAGCATTCTAACTTAAGCATCGGAGTATTCCCCCTGACCTACACTCTTAGCGTGGCCTACACTCTCAAGTGTCGTCCGTTGCAAGGTAGGAGCCAGTTAGCAGCCAGTTAGGAGTGTCTGGATTGCACAGAATCACTTCCAATCTCTTTTCTAAAGTTGATTTTATTTTCTAAGTTTTATCTTTATATCAATCACTCAACAGGAAAGCTGCAACTTCAAAATCCCTATATTTTTGTTTATAAAGTTTGCATTGTTTTTTTTGTAGAAAACAACCTCAATAATAATTGCATGGGTATTTTGAACATTTTCGTGCATTTTGTTAGAGGATTCTAAGAGAGGGGGTCTACATGCAACAGTGTGAAGGTTCAGCAGAGATGATTGCAGTTACCAAACTTTAGGGAAGGTTTCAGAAATTTACCTATACTTTAACAGGTTGGTCAAAGTCGTATTTCAAAGGAATTGGACAAATCCCTTAATGCAGATTGCATCGAATTTGAATACATAATACATCCAAACCAGATATCCAATCAACTCAATATCTGCGAAGGGAAAAACTATATGCTGATGGAAAGACATTTAGATACCGGTTGATTGTTTATCATTTTTTCGGTATCATAGACAAACCCATCTTTTAGATATATAAAACATACATTTAAATTGATATACATTTACATATCTGTATATCCTATTCAATTAAAATTAAAATATCAATAATTTGTATAAAATTAGCATAAATGTAAATGTTAAAATAAAAATAAAAAATATAATATAAATAAAATAAACTTCAATTATAAAGAATTTTAATACTAAAAACTAGTATACATTATAAGGCACATGCAGAAATTCAGTCAAAAAAAAAAAAATGTATGCGGACAAATTCGGCCAAAGAATACATCAAGCGACGAAAAAATGAACCATTTTTGGACGGCCAACTGAAACAGAATCTAATCAACCAATTGCGTCGGAGTTAAGCTGTCGTATCAGCCTTCATTCCGATTGATTCTCAGAGTAGTACGAATGTAGACGGATTTATCAAGAGTTTGTAGGAAGAGTCCAAGAAGGCGTAATATCTCACTCTCCTTCTCCGTCTCGATCGCAGGAGGCTTTCAGTAGAATTCGGTTAGCACTCTCTTTCTGTTTCTGCTGCTTCCCTTCATCAAAGCTTACGTGATTATATTGATTTGTTTGTTCTCTTTCTATTTGATTTTCTTTCACGATTGTTCACTTGCTGTTATTTGTTTCTTGTGCTGGATGCATGGCTAGAAGGAGAAAGCTTGATGAATATGTATTCTGGTTCATTTGGTTATTTTGTTAATTTTGGCACTCCTGATCTACTACAAGCCTACAAAACAAACACACCAGTGATCCATTTGGTTTTACACTCCTTTGTTTGAATGAAATTTCTTTTGTTACAAGGTATAGGAGTTGTGATTGGTCACACTTATTCCTCAGAAAAAAATTGAAGCTCTTTGCTGAAAAAAAAAATATGAATGAATAAGAAATAAGAAATATTTTTATATGCTAAAAATATTATATATTGTGTTGTTCTTGTAGAATAAATAATATTTCATATTAATTTGTTATGTCATGTTTAAGAATATCTTTTATTTAGGGGTGTTAATTGGACTGGATTTGGTCCAATCCGGTCCAGTCCAATGTGAGTCCATTATAAATGGATCTGGTCCTATCCAGTCCAATGAATATTTTGGACCGGTCCAAAGACTGTTCAATCTGTTCAAATTCCTGTTAATTTAGATTGGTTTCAACTCAAACCTGGTCCATTGACACCTATGTTCTAATCTTCTATCAATGGAACATATATTGGCTCAATCCGATATAAATTCATTATGGACGGACCGGGTCCAATCCAATATGTCATATTGGTCTGTCCAGTCCGTCCAATCCATTCAAAAAGATTTTGATTTGGACGGAGTCCAACCCAAAACCGGTCCATTGACACCCCTATTTTTATTCATATAAAATTTTACATGTATTATATTTTTAATTCGTATCATTTGATATATAGTATAATAATTATATCATATTATTACATAATATGTTTTATATTAAAATTCCCACAAATTATTTCTTGTGCAACCCCGGATAGAAATGGAATAAAAGATTTTACCAAACATCTTACTTTCTCTCCCACTCCATTATTACTTCTTAGAAATTATCTAGGAAACGATAAAAAAAAAAGGGTTACAATATTTCTAATCACTTACCAAGTTACACACTTGTGGGAGTATTAATGAATTGAATGGTCTGGATGGACGAACATATTGAATTAGACCAGTCCGGACTTAATAGTCCAAAGTATTTTTGGATTGAAGTGGATCTGGTTCAATCTGTAATGGATTTATATATTGGATTGGGTTGAATTGGACTAATATCCGGTCCATTGACAGAAGATAAGAGTAGACGGGGTGTCAATGGACCAGATTCGGGTTAGACCTAAAAGTACCAATATTCACAACTTGCTTAGATCAAAGTTAAATTTATTTATCATGGATTGCCTAACACTTCATTTTGCAGTCAGTTCATATATATAGCATCAGAAAAATGGATGGTGGAAATAAGGAGAAGAATAATGTCGAGATTCAAGACAAAGGGCTTTTTTCACACTACAGTTATGGTGTTAGTGGTGAACACTATTCATCGTCACCATGGGCATGCCCCCCAGTAGGCTACCCTCCACAAGGCTATCCATCCCAAGGATATCCTTCGGCCCATTGTTATCCTCCTCAAGGCTACCCACCAGCAGGATATTCTGCTTCACAAGGTCCATTCTTTCCAACTGGTTATCCTTCTTCAGCTTTCCCATATTATACAGGTATGGTTGCAAACGGTTCTGTACTTTGAAATTTGTTGTGAAAGGAGAGTTCTATCATGGTTTATATTTTGCAGATAAGGGTGTCATACTGTCATTGTCAACTGATTGGGTTTGGGTCAGAGTCAGACCCTATCTGAACCAAAATCAATTTGAATGGAATGGACACATGGATTAATTAAACATATTGAATTGGACCAGTCCAAACTTAATGATTCAAAGTATTTATTGGATTGGATTGGAACTGATCCATCTGTAATGGATTTGTATTGGGCCGGGTCAAGTTGAGCCAATATCTGGTCCATTGACAGAAGATAATTAGAGTATGCGTGTCAATGAACTAGCTTTGGATTGGACTCAATATAAATTAAAACCAGTTTGAACGGTCCCAGACATTGAATTGAACCTGGTCCATCTATAATGGACTCATATTGGACCGACCGGGGCAGCTTTGACCAATATTTGGTCCATTGACAGCCCTATTTGCAAACATTGCATGACGTCCCTTAGTTATGATTTCTTTGGAAGTGATGATGATATTTGTGGATATAGCTTGGAATGTTATTCCATTTGAAAACATCATTTTCATCATCATCTAAGCCTTGTCCCAATTATATCACTAGCTACATGATCGTTTAGTTTTATTCTTGTTTTTAGAAGTCGCAACAAGAAAAATAATTCACAATGGAGAACACCCCTGAAATGAACCACAAACCAAAAACACCCCAAGTCTATTGAGAAAGGACTGGCTTATACTTTGGAGTAGTTGGATCATATCCAATCAACTCCATGTGCTGATTCTATTAGATGCACACAATTAGCCTCTAGAAGCAACAATCTGACTCCTATGACAGGACGAACTAAACTCAAGACAAATGAAAAGCTTGCTTGTGCCCGTTTTATTGATGATTCATGTTTAATTTAAACAGTCCAGAGTTTTGACTCACACAATTGATCAAAAGCAAGGTTTTTAAAGTTGACCCGGACAACAAACAAGTCAGTGGTCTGATTCCCGGGTAGAACAGTTCGATCATTCGAACCAAACGGTCAAATCATTCTGATAAAAAAATAAAAAATTTAAAATATAAAAAATAAAAAACGGTAAAAGCCACTGAACAGTTTGAATGGTTGAATTGTTTAAGTCAGCGATTTACTGATCAAATCAACGGTTTTTGGCAAAAATCTGATTTTGAAGAAAAACTGATCAATTCCCGATTTTTCCGGTCTAGTTTTGAAAACTATGATTAAAAGACTCTTTCCTCAACTTCATGCCCTTTTTGGTTTTGTTGTTCCTAAAACATGAGAAATTGAGACCCGGCCTCATTTTATATATAGGGAGTGGACATGGCATGGGCATGGGGGCAATGCTAGCCGGAGGTGCTGCTGCAGCTTATGGAGCTCATCACTTGGCACATGGTGCTCATCATCTAGTGCATGGCCACCAGTATGAGAGCGGCCTCTACAAGCACCATGGCAAGTTTCATAAGCATGGGAAATATGGCAAGCCATGGAACAACGGAGTGTATGGAAAGTACAAGTTCATGAAGCGGTGGAAGTAATACTTCTTTAGCACAGATGCAACTTCACTTATATTTGGTTACTACCAGCTACCACCTACTATACAGATTACAATAATGAGTAGTTCTCAAGTTTAATCTCTTCTATCAATTATTAAGAAACACTATAGTTATGAGTTTAAGATATAAACTACTCTAGCATTCCTATGGGATAAATTAATATAATGGAGTACTTTAATGGGAATGCTTATGTTTTTCTGTGATTTGTGTGGAATGAGCTTGTTTTGCCACTTGGGGTACACATTGTGTGAGGTTAATTGCCCTTGGAGCCAGGCTTCTTTAATAAATTAATGCCTGTTTGCGAGGGCTGATGTGCAGTGGCTTCTGGCTTTCCAAGGTGCATTATTTGGCATCACAAAGATAGTCTATAGGTTATGTTCGATGAAAATTTTGAAGAGCCCAAATCTGCCGTCAATTAGTTATTTGAAGGGCTAACTGTCTGCTTCAGGCTCTTTTAAAAGCTTATCTGGAGTGTTTTTTTAAGCAGCTGAACCAGTTTAGCTGAATCTTAAGCTCAGCCCTCTCGAACGGGCCCCTTAAGGTACCTGTGTTTATGTGACTACAGGGGTGTCAATGGACCGGTTTTGGATTGGATCCCATCCAGTCCTAAATCAATTTGGACGGATTGAATGCATGAACCAACAAGACATATTGGATTGGACCAATCCGATCCAAAATATTTACTAGATTGGATTGGACCTGGTCTGTTCGTAACAAATTTATATTGGATTGGGTTAGATTAAGTCAATATTTGGTCCATTGATATAAGATAAGAATATATGTGTCAATGGATCGGGTTTGGGTTGAAGCCAATTTAGGGGTATCTATGGTTTGGTTAACTAAACCATGGCCCTTTTTTGTAAACCAAACCGGTGGTACCGGTTTTTTTGTTTCGCCAAACCAATACCACCGGTTAACCAGTCTGTCGGTTTTGGTTTTTGACCAGTTTGAGTCTTCGGTTTTTTGGTTTTTTATATTATATATTATATAAATATATGTATAATATTATATTATAAATAATAAATGATATATAACATATTATAAATATTTTAAAAATATATAATATATTTGTAAATAGATCATTATAAATATAATATAAATATATATTTATATAAAATACATAGAAAATATGTGACATGTTAAAAATATTTATAAAATATGCATATAAATATATACTGGTTGGTTTGGTTAACCATCGGATTTTTTATAGGTTAACTGAAAACCGAACCAATCCTTCGGTTTTTCAAAAATTTCGAACCAAAACTGGACTGACTGATTCGATTAACCGCATTTTACGGTTCGGTTTTTTGGTTTTTTGATTTTTCATGGACACCCCTATCTATTAAACAAATTGGATAGTGTAGACATTAAATTGGACCAATCCAAATTGGTCCAAAACATTCATTGGATTAAATTGGACCTGACCCATTTATAATAGACTCATATTGGACTAAATCGGATTGGACCAACTCCAATCCAATTGACACCCCTACTGATAACATGTCCCTTTCTTAGAGGAACAATGTGTTGTGGGGTTAATTGACCATGCTCATGCAGTCATTAGCTTTTGGACAAGCACATAATTAATGGGTGTCAAATGAGGATGCATCATTGACATTGACATCGAATGTTCATGGTGGCTTATGTGAATTTATAAGATTTTCACTGAACTCAGAAGGGAATAATTCATCCATGGTAGAGAGAGTCAACAAATGTCTCAGGGCCTCAGGCTCTCATCTAGCAACCTGGTGTTGAGTCCACTATAGGAATTGGAGCTTCATTTTATTGCTTCTGTTTATGGGGAACCCAAAGTTCTGAATATCATACATGACAGACATTTGCATGATTCTGCAAAGAAATTGGAAAAAAGATGCCCATAATGCATCATCCTCTGTACCAGACCAATACTAATCTGCCACACCAGTCTGTTCTTCCCATTTTAAAAATTAATAAAGTGAGTTTTTTAAATAATGTGGCAGAACTGTAGAAGGCTATTGGTACAAAAAAGTTTATGTACCAAGGGTACAGAGGATGTGATTTCGGTTGAGCTGATAGCAGACCTTAATACCTTATTAGGAGCTAAGGAGTCCATAGAGGACCCTCAATTAGGCTGTGTTTGGTTTGAAAGAAAAGATAAGGAAAGTGATGAGGGCAGATTTGGCCCTTCACTAACATCATGATACATGGTATATCAAAACAGCTAGACTACATCCTAGCATCACCTAGGCAACAACTTGCCTTTGCCAAAATGGGGTTCCATCTGACAACCTGCCTCTACTGCCGACCTGGTGACCTACTTCTGTTGCCGACCTGGCGACCTACCTCTACTGCCAACGTGGCAACCTACTTCTGTTGCCGACCTAGAGACCTACCTCAGTCGTCAACTTGGAGATCTACTTCTATCATCGACCTGGCGACCTACCTCTATTGCCGACCGGTGACCTACTTCTGCTGCCGACTTGGCGACCTGCCTCTACTGCCGACCTGGCAACCTACTTCTTTTGCCGACCTAGAGACCTACCTCTACTGTTGACCTGGCGATCTACTTCTACCGCTGACCTGGCGACCTACCTCTACCGTCGACTTGGCAACTTTCCTCTGTCGCCGACCTAGCGATCTACTTCTATCGCTAACCTGGCGACCTACCTCTGTCGCCGATGTGGCGACCTAGCGACCTGCCTCTACCACCGACCTGGTGACCTACTTCTGTTGCCGACCTGGCGACCTGCCTCTACTATCGACCCGACGACCTACTTCTTCTATCGACCTAGAGACCTGCCTCTACTGTTGACCTAGCGATCTACTTCTATCGCTGACCTGGTGACCTACCTCTGCCGCCGACATGGAGACCTGCCTTTGTCGCCGACCTTGCGATCTACTTCTATCGTTGACTTGGTGACCTACCTCTGCCACCGACCTGGCAACCTGGCGATTTGCCTTTGTCGCCAACCTAGCGACCTACTGATGTGGATGCGTTTATTGGGAAGAAGTATCGCCGATGGCAGCAGTAGTAATTGGGGGTTCTCAGTTCTCATCTTATATAATTCCAGCTAGATACAGTTGTTCTATCTTCTCTATTCAGCATTCTTATCTTATCTGTTTTTAGTAGTAGGATTAGTAGGGAGTCTTATCTATTCAATGTTCTTATCTTATCTATTCAGTGTTCTTATATGTTCAGTAGTATAGATTAGTAGGGAGTCTTCCTAAAAGTAAGACTCTTATCTCTTGTAATCTCCTATTTAAGGAGCTAACAATATTCAATAAAGGCATCGGAAATTTCAGCCAAGAAAGAGCAATGGAGAGTTGGTAATCTCTTGAACAAATCACCATTAAGGCACCAAGATAGGTTCCTCAAGAAAAGGGAGGAACAAGGGAAAACGGGAGGTTTTCCCCGTGGACCGACCCGTGACAAGATCCTATTCTTGGGCCCTTAACAGCTTGGTATCAGAGCAAAGTGTTATGGGTGATTTGGAGCAGTTGACGTCCAGGGTCCACGAATTGGAGCACAGGCTCGTGGAGAACAGCACGGAGGTATGCGAAATCAAGGACGATGTTCGAGAGTTACGGCGCTTGAGGGAGTTATTTTTCTCTAACAAGGAGAGGAACCCAGAAGGGGCTGCAACCACTAACGGCCGCCGACCAGACGTGGCGGAGTCAACCGGCAAACAACAGATCGTCACCCAGGGAGCAACGGTCATCCCCAAATATAGCAGGTTGAAGTTCCCTTCTTACAACAGCGCCGGTGATCCCTTGGGGTGGCTGTACCGATGTGAGCAGTTCTTCCGCAACCAAAGGACAGAGGACAGAGACAAGGTAAGCCTAGCCGCATTCCACTTGACGGAGGAGGTGCAGCTCTAGTTTTATCAATTGGAACAGGAGGAACCCGGGCTCAGTTGGACTCAATTCAAATCCTTCTGCCTTCTCCGGTTTGGGCCCCCATTAACAAGCAATTCCTTGGGCAAACTAATCAACCTCAAACAGATGGGAACAGTGGCTGAATATCAGCGCCAGTTTCAGATCTTCCTTGCTAGAGCATCATCGGTACGACCGTACCAGCAGGTAGACATGTTCACCACAGGGTTAGCAGAACCTTTGAGGGTGGATGTGGAGATGCAAAATCCCCCCAACCTGGTTATGACCAAGAATCTAGCCCGCGCCTTCGAACGTAAGCTGCAACTCAGCCGCTGAACCTTCAGTATAGGGCAGCCGCCGACATCATGGGCCCCGAAAACTCCCGGAATGGCCCCTTCTTCTGCAGCCATCCGAGAATAGAAGCCTCATACGAGTGACATCCCTAGGTCAGCATCCAGTGTAGGAAGCAACGTGGTGGCACCCCCCATTAAGCGCTTATCCATAGCCGAGATGGTAGAACGTCGGGCAAGGGGATAGTGTTTCAACTGCGATGATCTTTATTCGGCAGGACACAGGTGCAAGAGACTTTTCTGCCTCCTGGTGGATGAACAAGAGGAAGACGAGGATGAACCCTCAGTATTCGAACTCAAGATTTCCCTCCATACATTCACCCGAATAAAAACCTCTCAGACCATGAAGTTGCAGGCACGGGTAGTGGGATAACCAATACAGATCCTCGTTGATTAAGGAAGCACACAATTTTGTAAGTGAACAAGCTGCCCTTCAGTTGAAACTGCCTATGGAAATCAGACCACAACTGCAGGTAGCCATAGCAAACGGTGAAAGGGTTCACAGTCCGGGAATCTATAAGGACGTCCAAATACAAGTCGAATTCGAATCCTTCTGTGTTGATTTGTTTGTGCTATCCTTGGATGGATTTGATGTAGTTTTGGAGGTAAAGTGGTTGATTACCCTAGGCCCAATCCTATGGGATTTCAGCACCCTAACGATGACATTCCACTTGAATGGGAAGCAAGTTACTTGGCAGGGTAATAGGGTAAAAGCAAAAATACTACAAGTTCATGTGCTCCAGGGCGAAGCGACGCACTCATCAACTATGGAAAAGCTCCTCACCGATTTTTCGGATGTGTTCCAAGAACCCAATCGTCGTCCGGCCTTATCGCTACCCACATCTGCAGAAAGACGAGATAGTGAAGCAATGTGCTGAAATGATGAAATAGGGGATCATCCGCCTTAGCCGTTCTCCCTTCTCCTCGCCAGTCTTGTTGGTGGCAAAGCGGGATGGTACTTGGAGGTTTTGTATTGACTACAGAGAGCTCAAAAAC